GCTGGCAAACTAAAACCAAACCTTGGGAAGTACGATGTGAGTTGTCCTGCATTCCGCTTTGAATCCTTTCAAGTGCCGCAGTTTACGGTTTTTAGGCTCCTCCTGACTGGCCAAGCATTCTGCAATATTTTCGCGGATCGGAATTACAAAATTACTTCACGAAAATTCTGGAAGACAATCTTAAAGCTGTTGTCAAACCGCAATATGTTGATCAAATACCTAGGTGAGCCACACGGTTCTCCTAACTTTCTTTCGACAATAGTGGGATAATAGAAGTGAAAGCGGGTGGTGTTCGACTGGCCGTTTTCCTTAGTACAAGCATTATTTGTAGATTCAATGTTTTAGAGCAGCAAAGGGAAGCGTGGAGTCTCTGCTGTCACGGAAAGCTGATAGAGGAAATCGCGAACAGGTTCAGAAAGATATGGGTGAGTAAGATTGGGCTTATTGGAACCAATTGAAGACATTGAGTTCTAATTTTTATTCGTCTGATCTTCATTGATTCTTAACAGTTGTTGTCAGCTTTCACATCCTCATGTTTTCCCAGAAATTGATGAGATCCAGCACTTTTACGTAAATTTTGCTGCGTGGGTATTGTGAGAGTGTGTGTATGTGTTAAGGGTTAGTCTTGGGCATTATTTCCGCTCTCTTTGCGACCTATCAAATAAGTTCGAAAGGTATCCACCCAAATGGGTATGACCAGGGAGCACGATGGTCGTTTTAAAATGCTCCATTTTTCTCAGCACTAAGTAACTTTGTTGATTTATGAAAGCAAAGGTGGACCTGATCTACTGATTTGGAAGTCAACTGGTTGAGTATTCGCCTTCACTTTTGAAAAAAAAAATAAGTTATGAGGCAAATTTAGAGTTTCACGGGGTTGCATTTGCAATAAAGTAGGTCCTCAAGAATCAATGATGTTGCGGAATCTTGGGAATGCGAATTGTGAAATTTACTATTACCGTTCAATCAAGTAGGTCGTGGAAAAGCTGGCTCCTGTACTGCATATCAAATAGTATCGATCGGGGACCGTAGAATAGAGGAAGCATGTATCAGTGTATGAAAATCAGATGCGTGTTGACTTCGAGACCTTTGGGTGAATAAACTTAGTGCTCAGTGATGGGAAGTCATTTTTTTTTTTGAGTTTCAGAATAATTTTGTCGCGATGATGCAGATTTGCTACCTATATTAGATAAGTGCAGGTATTCGACTCGGGGACTTGGGGAATCGGTCAGATCACATTGCCAAGGTTTCCCTGTTCGATGAAAAATACTTTTACCATGCCGCGGAACATTACTTAGTCATCTTTTTTACGCGTTGTGTGAAATCACTAATGACCTTCACTACATCCTGATGTTGATTTAATGCTTCTGGATTCTTGGAGTAAATATTTTGATTCCTAACTATTTGAAGCTCTTTTTTAGAGCTTGATGGTCTTCTGCAAAGGCAAATCGAACAGCTATCTGGTGGTGAACTGCAGCGGTTTGCCATAGCAATGTGCTGCATTCAGAAGGCAGATGTTTACATGTTTGATGAGCCCTCGTCATATCTGGATGTAAAGCAACGTCTCCGAGCAGCCGCTCTTATCAGGGATATGATCGCCGGAAACACGTAAGTTCTGATTATTCATCTATCTGCATAGTTTTAAAAGGCTACAGACGTACTTTTTGAATATGCAAAAAATTTCCTGTCATCGTAGTCTACTTCAATTTCCGCAGCTTCCCTGCTTTTTTAACGCGTTGCATTTCAGATACGTTATTGTGGTCGAACACGACTTGGCTGTATTAGATTATTTATCCGACTTTATTTGTTGTCTCTATGGTGTTCCTGGTGTCTACGGTGTGGTGACATTGCCTTCGGGAGTGCGGGAAGGCATTAATATGTTCCTTGACGGTTTCATCCGAACGGAAAATATGCGATTCCGGTAAGGCGACACCTTTTCTTTTGATACCATTCTTAATGTTATATTCTGGCACCTTATTATTTATTCATTTATTTATTATTTCCTTCTTATCCGTTTGGAAAATAACAATAACAGTTAGGGAATGCTTGCAGTGACGACAAGCTCTGCTTCCGAGTTTCTGAACAAATTGACGAAGTTGTGAAGCGTACTGGTAATTTTAAGGTAGGGAACTTTGCTCAGTTTTTAGCCTCCATCTTTTTGTCTCTGCGTTGATAGCAGTTTAACATCTTCGTTTCCGTTTAGTATCCTGCAATGTCCAAGAATCTGGGTCAATTCAAACTGAATGTAGAGTCGGGTGATTTTTCTGACTCGGAGATTATCGTTATGTTGGGTGAGAACGGAACTGGAAAGACTACAATGATTAGGTAACTGGAAGAGCAGATTTTTTTGTTTGTTTTTTTTCTGGTGTGTACATGGTTGATTTGTTAGAATGCTGGCTGGTTCTTTGAAACCCGATGAAGAGGTTGATATGCCGAATATGACCATCTCCTATAAGCCGCAGAAAATCAGTCCTAAATATGAAAACTTCGTAAGTTGCTTCCTTTTTTTTTCTATTCATTTCTGTGACATTGGGAGAACTTTTAGGTTCGACATATGCTCCACGAAAAGATTCCCAACATGTACATGCATCCACAATTCAAGTCGGATGTCATGAACCCTCTAATGATCGACCAACTTATGGACAGGGAGGTACGAGTATTTTAAATGTTTTTTGCTTCCGAGTTTTTTTTTTCTCATTTTATTGCCAGTACTATGAAAACTCTGCGGAAGTGCCGTAGACGAAGACTCATATGGTTGAAAATTCCGGATTGATTGGTGTTTTTCATGAAAAGAGGTAGGAGTGGGGGAAGGCACTTTAACTCTACTCGGCACTACTCAACTGCAAACAGCAATATCCACATAACTAAGCGCAAGGTTTTGATGCGATAGTAGACTTCGCCATAAGCAAAGTACTGACGTCTGCAGTTATTCGCACCTTCATTTTTCTCCTCTACTAAGTTCGGCATTAGAGCTCGTACACCTAAGACATGGCCAAAAGGAAAGAGACTCTAGAAGGATCATCCCTGTTTCCTGTTGATTTTGAGTTCAAGCTCTTCAGTATATCTGAAACACGATCAGATTTCAGGTTAATAGTGGTAAATATTCACACTACACCCATGCTATACATATTGAATTTCGCTGATAAGTTCCCGTAGGAAAAGAGTTACGACTGAAAAGTACTACTGAAGAAGCATTTCACCGAAGACTTTTAAGCGCTACTGTATTCATTACGAATACGAGCTTTTGGGTATCAATTAAACAGTATCCGGTGTAGTAGGATGAGTAGTTATTGCTAAGAGTAGTTTCGCATGTTTGAGTGTACCCCTGTCGTTCTCATTTGAATGCGTAGTTGTCAAGTCGATCTGCAGTTCTCTGCTATTGACTGATAGTCCGAGTTTTTTTTAGGTGCAAACATTGTCTGGTGGAGAGTTGCAACGTGTGGCGTTGGTGCTTTGCCTTGGAAAAACGGCAAGTGTTTACCTGATCGATGAACCCTCAGCATATCTGGATTCAGAACAGCGTCTCCATGCTGCCAAGGTCATTAAGCGGTGAGTTCGATTTATTTTGAGAATTTTCAGATTCCATAGTTCTTTTAACGTTCGATAGTATCAGTCGTTCGCTGAGACGACCTAATTTATCACATGGGCTCGGGGGTTTCTGAACTAAGTGTTCGTCTAATCGAGTATGACAGCATTCTTCGATTGAGTATGTGTAATTATCTGCAAGGATTCATTTCATGGGAAAGTAAGCGCAATCTGTGGAGCTAGGCATGATAAATACCAATGATAGCTTTGCTCCTGTGGACTTAACCGGCCCGCTTTGGCCGGTCCGCAATAGACGAGGGAATTTCCTTTAGATCGCAGGCATTCAGCCAGCCCATCATTAGGTTTCAATAATCCTCTGATACTGTGACCGAAGCTGTAGGGAACTGCGCTTCGAATTGCCAATATGGCTTATCCCTTCTACGCATACGTCACTGTGTGGTGGAGAATTGTACATTCATAATGTCCGATTTACTATCAAAGTATCGGATTCTCTGAGCAGTTTTTCTTATGGTTGGAGAGTTTCTATTTCTATAGTCGAAATTTGTTTTTGCATACTTTCGGATAAACAGCAGGCCGTATATTTACTTNTTTGTTTAGATTCATCATGCATGCTAAAAAGACGGCGTTTGTTGTTGAGCACGATTTCATCATGGCCACTTACCTCGCTGATCGGGTGATTGTATTTGATGGGGAGCCATCTGTGGAGGCGACCGCTAGGAAGTACGTCTTTTATGTTCTTCTTCGGTTTTTTACAGTTAAACGAGGCTAATTTCGGTAACTTTCGGTAATTAAAATTAAATTAAAATTTAAAAAATTAAAATTAATTAAATTTCGGTAATTCCGTTACTTGCAAGCAGGGCTACCATGCGTTATGAACGCAGTTTTGTTTGGAGCTATTATCTGTAGGAGTCTTTTTGGATAATAGCTTGAATTGAGATGAGCAACCAGATTAGCTGGTGATGAAATTGTGATAATATTCTGAATATATGCCATTCAGGCCACAGAATCTTCAAGACGGAATGAATTATTTCTTGAAAATGCTTGAAATCACATTCCGACGTGATACGGAATCATATCGGCCGAGAATTAATAAGAAGGATTCCATAAAAGATATGGAGCAGAAGAAAAGTGGACAGTTCTTCTTCTTGGATGACGCTTAGGTATTTTTTCATTTCAAAGTTCAAGGCATTATTTTCCGGATTGTTTACTAATTGTGATATTTGTTGATCAGATTTGTTTATCGTAGTTTTTTCAGACTGCTTATTTGTATCGAAGTTCCGAGATATAGTTCTATGGCTTCTTTATCTTTATATACTGCAAATGCTCATGCTTCTGATCAAAGTGGATTTATATGACAGTGAAAATCTATTGTTTTTAAGTCTAATAGGGTTTCTTTCGAGTTTCTTTCTGTGGCTTTCTTCTTTTAAAGTTTCTAGTTGTCAGTTGTTTTTGTTGGTCAGGTGTTTTTCGAGGTGTCTCGTTTTCCTTCTCCCATCAGCAACCATGGCTATAGTAATGGGTCACGCCTTTGTGAAACACAACCCTACAATTGCAGTCATTTACTACTTAGGATCCCCTCTCGTGACTGCTGACTAGAAAGGAGGTGGCTCCGAATAAAGTTACCCCGAATTAAATTACCCTTCTACTGAGAAAAACCAGTGGAAAATCTAGGGTAAGACCTACCAATTTCGGTGTTTACCCGGGGTTACATAAGCATGGAAAATGTCAGTTTAATGTATTCGGGCGCATTCTGACTTGGTTGGATTGAAATATTCAACAGCATTGGGTGTTTTTTATCACTGGGGTGCAGGGCGCTGGTTTCACGAAAGGTTTTGTCTGTGCCCCAATCATTTTCCTCTCTTACCACGGGGGCAACCTTTAGTACGAGCTCATTTAAGACTCATTTCTTCAGATTTCAATAAGTATGACTGGCAGGGCACATAATACACTGCTTTGTTATGGTTGTCTCAATATGATTTTGCTTGAACAGGGTATCGGTTTGGGAGAGAAATCCGTAGTATGTCCTAGATGAACTCGGACGAATTTGAGCCTAGAGAAGTGAGAGCACGTTGTAAGACATGCAGGGCAACGGCCCTACTTGTTCGGAAAGATTAATTGTTTTGATTAACTCAAGATCACCCACAAAAACCATGCGTTCCCACGTCCCCTTTTCGCCCCGCCCGGATGAAGTCATGCTTTGTTGGGATCATTGCCCCTCTAGACCTTTGCGCTATAATCATCAACTTGGGGGTAACAACGGTCAAGTCTCTGCCAATAGGGTCGCCCTCTCTATCATCAACGAGTTTTTGAAATCTATCCGTCCCCTCTTTGGAGTTTGTTTGTATTTCTCCCGTTGCACTTGTGATCCGATCCATATCGATTGGGTTAACGTCGGTCTACTCGATTCAAATTCGTTCCGTGTGTGTGTGCGTTTTCGCCCGGCTGTCTCAAACGTCCAAAAGATTGTCCGATTGATATTTCGCCCTTTTGTTTATCTTTCATCTATTCCTCCTTTTTATATCTTCTCGCTTTTATGTTGTTGATTTATTGTTTTAATGGTATTTATATGGGGTTTTGCTGTTGAAATGAATGAAAAATCGAATTCCAAGTGTTGTCCGTTTATTTCGATTGTTATGCGAATGGATATTAACACCTGTGTTTTTGCAGTGTTTAATATTTGTTATTGATATTAGTTTCGAGAAAAAAAGGAACGTTTTAGTAATGACGATTGGGTGCGCTTTAATGACTTTTGCTTTTTTCCGTAGTGTTTTGCTGCCTTTTTTTTGTAACCGCTCATTCATTTTCTAATTACGTTTATAGTATGCGTGAGTAATCACTAATGCAAATGATTCACCCTTTAAAGAAGGAGGTTTTGTCGCGCAATCTGCGACAGGCCGCAATTGCGGACTTAGGAAGTTTTTTGGTGGGCCTCTTTTTATTTGGGATTCTTTTTTGGCCACGTAGAGACGAGACCCTTCAGTTGCTCAGGAACAGGTATGCGCTGTGAAAGTGGATCTACATTAAGATTTCAGACGGCTGAAGGTTTTGCATCAATGCTGACACGCAGATTTCTAACAGTGGCCCTTTTGGTTCCTCAATAGCTGATTTAAATGGACGTTTTAGTGATTTTCTTGGCTTTTTCATTCAAGCTCAACTCGAAGAGCTACTTATTTGGTATAGATCCATAAGTCTGTGACCAATTCTGCGATTGTGTAGGTGTTGGGGAAGGCGAAAATTTCCACAACTGAAGAATGGCAGTAGCAGCACTGGCTGTCCCTCTTCTGTGGCCCTATTTTAGAGAACTTTTATGAGGGAACTGCAGCTTCCATGACTGGATAGCCATGGGTTTCTGAAATAAGCATTTTGCTGGTATATGGAGGAGATCTGTGTGACGTTTCTCAACGTTGAGTTTCTAACCTAATTGGTGTTTATGCTAAGCGATAGTGGCAGCCTGCGACAAAGTTCAATAGAGGAGAGCGGTACGAAAATCGCAAAAACGTGGGCTTTTTTGCTAGCTAATGGGGCGTTGTCTTCATCGTTTATACTCGCACACTGTCCTCTATTCGGTCATCGTCGCTTGTCGCTAAGTGTGGCTGTAGGATGGCGGTATTCTTGCAGAAATGTTTCTACGGGCCTAGCCCAGAATGGGTGAGAGACGTATAACGTTACTTCCGCCTTGTCTTTCTGTCCCGATCGAGGACATCAGAACAAATTCTGCAACCCATGAAGGGTACAGTTTTCTCTTTTGCATTTCCCTTACTTGGTCGTAGGGTGAAGTTATCAAACATTTTCGAAAATTATACCAAACGGTAACGATCCGTCTAATCATCATCACTGACTATATTTTGATATTTTTGAACAAAATTTTTGGTGTATGAAGTTATTCCCAGCAAATTATTGTAAGCACGTTACAGTACACTGCTGCTTTGAGTCTCGTCTTCCAAGTTCCAATCATGGATGGCTGCTTTCATAGTCCACGATTAGGCGAGCGACTAGTCGCGCGACCGTTCGCGGACCCATCGACCGAGCGATCGGTCGCGCGACTGGTCGCTCGCCAAATCGTGCACTATGAGAGCAGCCGATGAAAACCTTTAATCAGTTCTCGTCCATAATACCACGTCAACTCCGCCCACTCTAACCTCCAACCCTCCTGACCAAAGTTTAACACATTTGAACCGGTTTTCCTGACAGTTTTCCTAGCTTTTATGTTTCTTCATTCTAGTTGCCCATTCTCATCTCCTTTATTGAAGCGTTTATTAAAAATCTTATGAGCTTTTTT